ATATTTACCCCACATACTTTTTTATGATAAGAACACTTAGAATTTAGGAAGACATGGCTTTAATATAAAGGTGGCTGTATGCTATTTGGTTTATATTCGTAACTATGATAACTTTATTCAAAATTGACTCCTCATAATGAAGAATTCCTTCTCTCATTTATGTCTTGTTTTTTATTTGGGGGCAGTGCTAACTGACTTTTTTGATCTTTGGTTTTAGAGAATGTTTCAGGTGGTGCCTCATGGTATAATTCAGGTTGATGTACAACTTACCATACAGTTCAGCTGAAGTTACAATTTCAACACAAGAGTTCTGAAGTAATGTAATTCACAACACATACAAACCTTTAGAACACATATGTATGTGTGTATGTTATTTTATAACATAGATGTACTATGTCACAATCAAGTTGCAAAATACCTTTGGAGACTGAATAATTTTAAAATATTTTAATATAGTCTAAGTTTACGGAGCCTACTTGTAGTACTACACTGGAGTCTTAGGACCCCTTCAACCCTCAGATTCCTGCCTGGGACTACTCACGACAGAATCACAATCGTGAGCACACAAGCACTCTTGCTGATATTCTTAATCAGTGAAAAATGATGTCCGTGACCTTTTAGTATAAAAGCTCTAGAACTTCTAGCCTCATGGTTTTTGAAAACATTTTACTATTTTATTCCAAAGCTAGCAGATTAGCATAGAGAAGACTAAAGTCTGTCTTCTGTCTTCAAATTCAAAGGCTTCAGGTGACTGGAAACAGGAGGGTTGATGGCTGACTAGATACATAATAACTCCATCGGCATGCTTGTTTCTTTTTTCCTCATAACACAGTAAACCAGATCTTGATATGCTGGGAAGCAAGCAGCTATGAAGCACTTTTTGAAAATTCACCTTCAAAGATTTCAAAGTTAATAAAGAGGACCAAATTAAATTCTTAGGAGAAACCGCCACTAGCTACAACTGGATCAAAAAGCATAAAATACCAAAGACAGGTAGCATTTGGAGACTCATAGGAACAATTACTTACAACAAAGCTAGCAATTAGCGTTTTCCCACAACTGCATAAACAAAATGAAAAATAATGGGAGTAATTATTTTTTATTGTTCATACAATTTTAATTTTGTACAGAAGTTTATAAAACATGATTACTGGCCATATAAAATTTCTGAAAACATAGAATTATAAGTCATCTAAATCAGAGGATATCCTGAAACTATACATTTTAAATTATACACACACACACACACACACACACACACACACACACACAGTAGGCATAGATAAACATCTTTTTTAGATCAAATCGTAATTTTTACTTATTCACACAGGGGTTATAAACACAAAAAGGCAGGACGTAGGGAAGGGGATGACACCGGAGCATCGGTGTTCAGGGGGAGTACAGATATCTTTCAGAACAGGGTATCGGCTGGGTGAAGGTTCAGGGGAAGGTCACTATGACTCTGCCTATGATTCACTTGTCCTTATCTAAGTTGGTATTATCCGCCAAGGCTACCTATTTACAAGGCCTATGACTACTCGGGCTGGTAAATTTCCACAAAAGCTGCCTGTTTACAACTGTTTAAAAACAGTTCAGGCTCTGCGGTATGGTGGAACACACCTGCAATTATAGCACCCAGAAGACTGAGGCAGGAGTACTGCTTTGAGTTCAAGTCTACATAATGAGTTCTAGGCCAGCTTCGACTACACCAAGTGAGATTCTGTCTCAAAAAAATTATGTATGTATGTATGTATGTATGTATGTATGTGTATGTATGTATGTATAGTGTGTGCATATACTTATATGTGTATATACACATATATGTATACATGCACACATACATGTATACATGTATGCATGTATACATATATGTATATATGCTATGTTCATAAACACAGCAAATCCCCTAAGTATGAGGCAGAAGTACTTCCCAACAGCTATGACAAAATCAATCTGAAATGGTACACATTTGACTATTAGCAAGTAGTAAGGTTTAGAATTCTGTATAAATTATGAAGATCCTATGTCTCTCAGGTTTGGTTTGTTGCTGTTGTTTTTGATTTTCTGTCTACTGTTAAGTTTGACTTTTACCAATTTTTACTTCCTTAAGATTATCCAACAAGTAGTTAAAATTTCACAGATTATTAAAGCCAAATTCTAACATTTTTAACTATATCCCATTAAACAATTTAATGACAGATTCAAAGGAACTTTTTAAATGAATGGATGAACTGTCTTAGGATATTGCTGGAACCAACACTCTGAAAGCTCCCTGTAGTTGCTGGGGTGATGCATCCTTTAATCTGAGCACTAGAAGGCAGAGGCAGGCAGGCAGTTCTCTATGAGTACAAGGTCAACCTGGTCTACACAGTCAGTTCTACCCAGGCTAGCCAAAGCTACACAATCAGAACTTGACTAAATAAATAAATAAAAGCTGATAAAGTAATAAGTACAAAATAATGAGGCAACTGAGTGTGTAAGTGTAAGCATTAAATGATAGTGGGAACAGATAATTAGGAAAGGCTTCCCTAGGGAAATGATTACTAAATCAATTAATATTTTAATTTTAGGAATCACATTGACAAAAATGGAAAGAAGAAAATCTTCAAATATATTTTAAACTAAAAGCTAAGTTTGAGAGTTAGATAGATAGTAAAACACCATAAATATTTGAATAACAAGGAGAATATGAATGAAATGCTAACTGGTAGAGATTAGAGATGTTCTTTCTCTCTCTCTCTCTCTCTCTCTCTCTCTCTCTCTCTCTCTCTCTCTC